GCTGCTCGCAGAGTTCCCAAGTCTCACCCTCCAGCTCCCATAGCGAGAGGAGGATAAAAACAACTGCACAAGCCACGTGGCAACATTAAAGAGACGTGTTTAATACTTAAAGAGGAATATAAAATTACAAAACTTAGATTTCGTCGTGAATAGATTTTTTCTGGTAAGGCCCGCTTGGGTTAAAGAGAAGCTTCCGGTAGAGAAGAGCCGCGTCGGCAATGCAGCTCGCCACCGCCAGGAGTCCGAACACCTGGGGACAAAGACACAGGGTCACTGCTGTGGCCGCGATCCCGGCTGCTGTCTTGCACACAGCCAGGTGTTTTGTTTTTTTTTCCTTAAGTGGTCTGGTGTCGTCGTGTCGTGTCGTTCCCCACCCCCGCGCGCTTTACCTCCTGCCAGAGAACTGGGATTGCTCACTCCCAGGCCACCTAATAATACTCAGAGGTCATTTTATTTATTCTACCTCCCAAGTTTTCCCAGTGCCTGCCTCCAGAAAGGGAAACGATCATTTAAGTGAGCAGAAATAATGCTGAAGTGGTGCGGGCTCTGAAACAAATACTCGTCTGCATCTCTGGACTTGCTCCAGGAATGTGTTGTTTAAAGGCCTACTGATGATACTTAGTCATCAGTTGACCTTTATGTCTGCAATGCTCAACTGTTTGACTTTCCTGTTGCAAACTCCACTGGAGACAGGGTCAAAGTTAACACCAGCTCAAGATTACACCATGGAGATAGCAGCTGTGATGAAAGCTTCGGAGAACTGGAGTGATAAAATAATTCAAATTGAACCCCCTCAAAGGCTGGGCTACATCCACATAAGGGGTGCGACCCTAAGTAGGCCAGAGGAAAATAAACTTGAGGGAAAGGGAATGAACCAGAACATGGTCTTTAGGTACCCTGATGGCTATGGGAGAGCTGGTGCCTGGGCTGGAGAAGGGGGATGCCATTCCCTGCATGCTATGTGCTCAGCTCCATCAAAAGGCCAGGAAGTCTGGGTTTCTGGCTCCAGACACTGCTTCTTTTCCACCCTGAATCTCAAGCGTGGCTTCCTAGGTTCTGACCAAGCTAAGTACCAACTACCTATCCTTTCATGGTCCTGGTACTCTGCATGTTACTGGTTCTTCCACCTGGAACCATCCCCCCTTTCCCCTCTGTTCCTGGCAAACTTTGAATTCCACGGCAGAAAGTAGTTGTTTCCTCTCTTCTGTGCCCCAAAGTGCTCAACAGCTTACATACAGCTGTTTGCACTTCTGTCTCTTGCATTAGGCTCTAAGCAACTTGAGGAAAGGGCTCACGTTCTAGTCCAGTGCCATCCAAAAGAAATGTAATGTGAGTCACCAATGTAAGTAAGCCACATAATTAATTTAAAATTTTCTAATAGCCACATTGAAAAGTGAAGAGAAACAAGTGAAATAATTTTAATAATATATTTCACTTAGCGCTATATATCCAAAATATCATTGTAACATGTCATCGCTATAATGAAGTTATTCATTAAATATTATACATTCCCCTTTTTGGGTAGTAAGTCTTCCAAATCCAGTGTGTATTTCACACATACAGCTCATTTCAATACAGACCAGTCACATACATTTCCGGTACTCAGTAGCCACCTGTGATCAGTGGCTACCACACTGGGCGGCATAGATCTATACTTTGTCAGCACCTACTAAAGTGCATGTAAAGAACGAATGAATGACCAACAATAAAGATAAATCAAAAAAAGAAAGAGTGCATGAATGAGCAAGTAAATAAGTGAAAGAAAGTAAATCCTATGCCTGGTCCCTCTTTCTCCATAGTAGAGGGTAAGATTATCTTTAAAGACAAGTGGGGGAAATTGCTGTTAGAGTACAATTTTATTTCTAGAATAATTCCCATCCCTCATGAAGCTGCTTAGGGCCTAATAAGGGAGATGAAATGCCATGGATTCTGACATACGTGGCTATCTGAGAGCGGTCAGTTCTCCTAACGTGGTCCATACTATGGAAAGACAAGGAAGCAGGAGGGAGATTTATTTAAGAACTTTCTAATTCACTTATCTAGATCAGAACCTAGAAAAGCCACATGATTTTGGGCCTCCTGTAAGAAATCTCAGAAGAATATCAGATGGGACTATTTCAATTACATTACTTGACACTTTTTTATTTTGGCTTGCCTTCTAGGATAAAGTGTGATGAAACCGATTTGCGTCTCATCAAGCAGTCTTCAAAATAATCCTTTAGTTACAAGGCTTCCTACTACCATTCCCTTATCATGAGCCATCTATTACATCCCCTCTAAGAAGGATCTGGACAAGAAATAACTGAGCTCAGAATAGTCTGTCTCACCTTAACAAGTGGTATGTATTTTTTTTTTTTAAAGGGAGAGCTATGAAACTCATTCATGGTGTTTTTTTTTCTTGACATCGAGTTTCTCAGAGCTAAGTGCTGTAACTGATTCCAGTAGCTTTTCTCAGTCTATGTTTTCTCAGTTTAGTCTAGCCCTACATACCTATGAGAAATACATGGGAGCCTCTTTATTTGGTTAACTTCAGCTTTATTGTGAAATCATATTTCTTCACATTAACCAGGGCATGTATTCATACAAAAAGAATTAAGCCACTGGGTATTATATACTGGCCCAGGAAACTCAAGGATGAGTATGGTGGAGTTTTCTGTTCTTGTATCTATTTTTAAAATAAATTGAATTCTGATCCAACCTAAAGGAAGAGACCAGAAAGACATCTACTTACCCCTCCAAGGACCGTAAATGTTGTGGTTTCTGGTATCACTGCCAACACAGATATGATTACCATGAATATTGCTGCTACCAGTGAGTTGATAATATCCTGAAAACACAGAAAAGAAAGGTCAGCTTTACAGGAAGATCGCGCACACACACACAGGCGCACACAGAGTGAGCTCCCTAAAGATTTTAAAAGTTCCATTTTACAAAACAAATTTATTTCTTGTTTATCTTTTAGGAAATTAAACTGCCACAGCAAAATGACACCTATAATGTGTTTGATCTTCAAGGATGCCTAGTAGTCCTCTTAACCTATAATACACCATCATTTAACTACCTAACAGGCATATTCTTTTTTACTTAAATGTAGTTGGAGGGGGAGCTCATCTGGTTAGGAGTGGATGATATAATATGTGGAAGGTTTAAGGTAGAATGGTACATGGGAAGTCAGGATGCTCAATTGTAACAATATGAGAGGAAGTATAAAGTCATCTACACTGTAAATCAAACAACTTTATGATGTTACTAAAATGCAATTAATAAAACTAAAAGCAGTGCATACTTAGGGAACTAAGTGGTAATTTTCAGGAAGAAACCCCCACACATCTATCTGCAATGGTTGGCCAATTACGCTATTATTTCTGATGATGTTGCTCATTCATTTAATGATTTCTTGAAGCATTTTCCTTCTGAACTGTGGCTTTAAGAGGTGCAGCTTACATTTTGAATGGATGTATAGTGTGGAAGCAGTAAATTGTCTTTATTCTGGAATAGTTTATGTATGCTTGCAGATAACTGTAGATAGGAAGGAACTGTCAACGCAGAAATACCAAACTTCAAAACCCTGGTAACTTAAAAAAGTAGTTATTAAAAATAAAACAGGAAAGAAGATCAATGGAGACGGGTCAAGATTAGATACACTTAGGAAGAAAAAACTTTTCATTTGCAGGAGATACTAGGACTGCCTGCCCCAGGGTAATGAAGGGTGCCCTGAGGTGCTGGATATTTCTCTCTGCTTCAAGGCAGTAGACTTCAGACAGGCAGCCCTGCCTCTTGTGAATAATTTGGGCATGTGTATGAATGGCATTCTAGATTTGCAGAGAACCACAGGAAAAAGACAGAGGCACCTGCCCCAGAACATGGTCTCCCTTGGGTGCTCTCCTGCCTTTCTCTGGCCACGCCTCCTTTTCACCCCACTTGTTGGCATTTTCTTTTACCTTCACCTTGCTCTGCACTCTCTCTGAGCCATGTAGGCCAGTCCCAGAGCTCATTTCCATCACGAGGGGATGTGATGACTCCAAAAGCCGCAGCTCTAACTCCTCTCTTAAGCTTCAGATCTGAACACTTCCATCTGAATACCCCACATGCAACTAAAACCTAGTGTTTCTCAAACTGAACTCAATACGTATCACGCTCCCTGGTCCTTCCTGAAACCTATTCTTCCTCCTATACGACCCATCTCATTTTCCTCTCGAGATAGTTATGTAAATGGCAGGGATCCTGGGCTACTCTGTCCTGTACATTCTACCTCGCTAGCATCCCCTTTCTCTCCGACTACTCTTATAACCTTAGTTCAGGCCTTTTATGCCTGGATTCTGGCAACAGACTTTTATGTGATTTCTCAGACCTACCTCTAGTTTTGATTCACTTCAAGCCATTATTGACCCTGCTACCAGGGTCATCTCCTAAAATGGAAGCTGGTCATGTCACTCTGCTGCTACCTAATCTTTCAAAAGCTTGGCCTTTGGGTTAAAACCCAGGGCATACAAAGCTTTGCGTGTTCTGACGTCCTACTGCCTCTCAAGCTTCCTCTCTTGCCGTTTTTCTTCTTTACAGCCCAATATTCCACATTCAGAGCTGCCTGCAGGTCTTTGAGGGTCACACCCTCTCTCTCCCCACACCCTCACGTATGTGGCTCCCTCTCCCTTAGCCCTTTCATCGCCCTATCAGTCTGCTAACTGCTTCTCATCCTTCAGCCCTCAGCCCAGACCTGTTATGACCTGGTCCCCTTCCCTGGCTGGTGCCTCTGCACCATCCTGTCACAGCACCTATTACACTGAATTGCTCGCCGGTCTTTCTTCCTGACTACACTGAGAGTTTCTTGGGTACAAGGTTTGTGTTTTGTCTTATTAAAGAACCCATTACAGAACCTGGGATGAGCAGATACATCACATTTGTTGAATAAATGATTTTGTTAGGTCAAGAGCGGGGAGGAATCTGGGTATCGTAATGGAGTAGTAAGTTAGTTGACCATACAGCACCATTTCCGAAAGCTTACAGTATCAGCAAAGTGTGATCCTGAGAGATTCAGAGACTCCTTGGAGTGTGCTACACATAGTCCACTCTCCCTCTCAGTGTATTCTGTTAAATTTGGGGCTCCATGTTCATGACATGTAAGAAGCTCCAGAGAATTATTAGTTTGGACAAAAATAAATGCTAAAATGTGTTAAGTTATATCAACCTGAGAAAAGCAGAGTATGAACAGCAACTATCCAACTCTTTGAGTATGAGATTAAAAAGATGTGGACCATGTTCATCATCTCGTTGCAGAAATCCTTAGAATCATTTAGCTCATGCCTTTCGGCCACTAAATGATGTTATGTACCCTGAGGATCAACTGATGAAGGCTTTGTAATCTGTTCGCCTAGACTTCCCTCCAGTCTGGTCCAGCTCTAAAGTGTAGATCAAGTAGGACTTTGGAGGGGTGCTGTGAAGATCCTATTTACTTCCAAGCTTTACCCTTTTGGGACTTCTCAGCTTGTGATTAGCCTAAAATGCTCATCCTTGGCCTTCAAAGGTAGTTCCAGAAGGTACCACTTAAAGGCATGCTTGTGGTCTGAGAATAGCTCTATTTCCTCTTTCTTTAGTAGGGGTTATCAGCTTGGATGTCAGCACTTCAAGAGGATGAGACAGGTGCAGCAGAGGGTCTTAGGAGGGAGACTTATAGAGATAGGATGCTGAGGACAAGATTTGAAAGAGGAGAGAGAGTTGAAATCGCTCAGTTTCTCCTAGAACCAGCTTATAGTCCCGGCTGAAGGACCCTATACACCTTAACCATTGTCTTCAACATGCCTATTTTGACAGTTTACAGAACTACTTGGGCACTCCACTGGGCAGTTATTCCTAATGCTATGAATATGGCAGATGACATTCATATGCTACTAAATAAGGCTCTACAAGATGAGTTAAAAATTATTCAGCATTAACGATTGCAGACGTTTTAAGTAAGATAATTTTGTGCTTTATGGAGCCTCCCAAATTATTTTGATTTTCCACTTAGTGATCAGGGATGTGCAAGTTACAGATACTGTGTATCTGTCTCTGTCTCTATTCCCCAATTTTAAGGTTGTATCAACATGCATTTAAAAGGAAGGTAAAGATTAAGAATGTTCTATAATTAATCAGGACCTTTCATTTAAAATTCTTTAGAAGGTGTACAGTTAGGTGAATTCTCCTAACAGAGGGGTCAGCCACATCTACTTTTTGATGGAGTTCACAGGAGCATTTATGCTCTGTGACTGCCCTGGTTCCCTAAGACTTTCCTCCAGGGACAACACAGAGCACATTAGCAGTGGGTAGAGTTCCTCCTTCCTAAGCTTATCAGAGATTCTTTAAAGGCTTAAGAAAACTAAACAATAGAGTCTGTTAAAATGTTTCACTAGGGCAGGAAAAAGTAGTTATTTTTAACGATGAAATTGAACACTTACAAGCAAAGGCCAAAATATACAGTCACTTAATCGATCAAGTCTGAGCATATATAAAACTATGAAAAAGAAAATAGTGGAGACTTCAAATCCAGTGATAACAATGTATGGTTCAGGGGCTTGTGCGATGATAAAAAAGGTCATAGATGTCACAGTTAGTGCCTACAAAGAAAAACAAACATATGATTTATCAGTGATTATTGAATACATGTTTAACCTGTAGAAATGATCATTTCTAAAATAGCTAAATAAACCAGTTTCCACCACACACACATCTAGAGGCACGATTAAAGTGTATGGGTGTGTGTGAATATGGCAGAAACTGGTTGTTTAGCTATTCAGAACATCTTCACGAAGTGCTCATCTATGCCCTCCGCCTTTGCGTTCTGGGAATGTATTACCTTCCCAAGTGGCCACTTAATTTTGGGAACTTACCGAATATAAAATTCTTCCTCATATTAAGCAGAACTGTTTCCCTGTGACCTTTATTTCCACCCCCCCTCTCCTATATGTCACTTCTTTAAAATTAAAAAAAAAAAATTTCCCCTCTTTTTCTAGAATTCCTTCAACATATTCTCCTGTGGTAGTTTCCACTTGTCTAACTAGCCAGGTCCCCTTCCTCCAAATGATTCATTCTCTCCACAGGTCTGTTCAGAGCTGACGGCAGTGCTCCCGGCGGGTCCGACACTCCAGGCTCGGTGCTGTAAGAGCCCTGAGCTCGGTCACATCAAACTTCTGACTTACAAAAAGCTAAACACAGCATCCACCGGGACCCCTGAGTCTTCTTGTTGGCTCCTGAGTGGAACAACCGCAGCTGCCTCACCTGGTAACCCGGGTACCTGGGTGGGGTCCGAGGGTGGGCCATTCAGGTCAAGATGCTGATTTTGCTTTAGGACCGGGTCAAGCCCCTGACGGGGAGGACAATGCCTTATTTCTCTCCTTGCGGCTGTGTTCATAGTGAAATGCCTTGCCTTGATGAAAAAACCAAGTTGGAAGAGAAGACGGGGCGCTCTGATTCCTACTTGAGAGCCATCTCACTGCCCTCCACCCCGCAAGCCGGCCCTCACCAACCGCAGCATCTTCACATGGCCTTTCACGCTAAAGCAGAAAGGGCGATGCTTCAGGTTCATGGCGCCCGCGGACCCCGCAGCAGCACTGGCCCTTCAGCCCCCTCCCCAGCGCGCAGCTCCACCTGGCCTCTCGCCGCAGCTGCAACG